ACTAAATAAACCTTTAAAATTGGCCTGACTCAGGTGTCTAGTATAATAATGAAAAACAGGGGAATACAACTTTGCATTAGACCTACTATATCCAAAGCCCCAAGTTCAATCCTTAACGTAAGAAAAAAATTTAAAAATGAAAAACTTAGGGAAAATCCTGGAAAACCTGGTAGCCAACAAGGTATGACACCACAGTAGTGTAAGTGAGGAGAGAAGGTGTCTACTCCTGTAACTCAAAGGAGAACAGAGCCAGATGAAACACAGATGGGGTGTGTGTGTGTGTGTGTGTGTGTGTGTGTGTGTGTGTGTGTGAGAGAGAGAGAGAGAGAGAGAGAGAGAGAGAGTGTGCACGTGCGCTCAAAACAAGTCCTAGTAAGTAAGTGAAGGTCAGTGGTTTTGCTGTTTTGTTTTGTTTTGTTTATTTTTTATGTGTGTGAGTGTTCTGACTGCATGCACATGGGCCATGCACATGTCTGATACTCACAGAGATAAAAAACCAAAAGGCATTAAATCTCTTGGAACTGGGGTTACAGATGGTTATAAGCCACCCTGTGGGTGCTGGGACCCAAATCTGGGTCCTCTGCAAGAGCAGCCAGTGCTTTTGACCATTGACCCATTTCTCCAGCCTCTCTAGTTTAGTTTTGTAGCAGCCAACCTCATGTTCCTTGTAGTAAATTCCTAGGAAATCACTATGCCTTCGGTTCCTGCGCTTAATAAAGAGTGCGGGAATACTATTGAGTGTGAATACATTCATTATTAAGGACTATTTTAATCTTAATCTATTAATGTCTTTCTAGGTGACGAAGACATAGGTAGAGATGGAATTTCTTGGATTGTGTGGTTGGAAACACGAGGACGATGTGAGATCTAGGCATCCAGGCTTCAGAACGTATTGGGAGGCTATGGTTTTCTTCCTCTCAGAACTCTGCCTTTTTCTACTTAGTTTCAGCCTCTGCTTCTACCTGGGGGCAAACTGACTATAGAAGTTCCACCTCCAATGTTGTCAGGCCAAGGAAAAACGTTTGCCTCTGTCCCAGAAACCTTAGTTAGCAAAGACTTCATTGTACCCTAATGGCTCTGGTGGGCCATGTATCGACTCTGAACTGAGATTTTTTTTAAACAACTGAGTCTAAAGTTCAGCCAGATATTCATTTACTGGCCTTTGACTAAAAAGGAACATTAGGGAGCCGGCACAAGCCCTGAGATTATTCTGTAGATACTTTTGAAAACCTATATGCAATGAACAACATAGATACTGTCTTGTATTTATGCAATTAGAGCCCAGGCGTTACGGTATTAATCACGCACACAAATGAATATATACTCATAAATCGACAAGGGCCAAATGACACTCAAGTGGGACATAGAGTTTGGTTGAGGGAAGTGATCCTCGTACAGTGACATCATCTGAAAGCTGATGACAAGCACACCTGGAACCGTGTGGTGATGAGAGGTGGTGACTGATAACCAGGAACATCCCGGGCATACCGAAAAAACTGGTGTACATGCTCTACAAGAGACACCTGTCATATTTTTCCTCACCCAGTATCCTTGTCCCATCTTTGTCCTCTCACCTCTGAGGAACCCGCCTCCTGTAATTTAGACCTGACCACAGAACTGGCTCCTCCGGGCTGTGGTGGTTCAGGGATGAGCACTTCATGGCCAGTTAGACAGTCGGCTTCTCTGGACACTTTGTTCTGACAGCATCGGAAGACACGGGATGGTTAAAGCTGTGGCTATTAAGCTGAGAGTGTGCGACAGTGAACACGAGCAGACTGCGTGGTTGGAGGAATACAGACCCTGGGCATCTGTCTTAGCAAATCTCTTCCTAGCAGGATTGACTCAAACAGAAGGCATGCCGGGATCAGCTATGACTGAAGAAAGCTAAGAGTCCTTTATTCGGTGCTACTCCTCACTCTTTCGGGCCTCTGTCATGATCACCTTGTGAAAGGGCCTTAGAGAATAAGGTTTTGTCTCAAATAAAATAATCTTAGAGCAGTGCCAAAGGCCTTGAACACAATAGAGCACGAGAGAGAGAGAGAGAGAGAGAGAGAGAGAGAGAGAGAGAGAGAGAGAGAGAGAGAGAGAGAGAGAACAAAGCAAAACAAAATCCTGGCTAAGAATAATCTAGAGGAAAAGGCCAAAAGATGAGCAGTAATGTGTTCTCAACTTGTAGCAGCCAATGAAGCTACCAGAGCTGCTCAGGTTGGCCAGCTTCAATTCCAGGAACCCAAAGTTAAATTCGAAGCAGGGGTTAAAAGGCCTGCTGTGCTGAGCTCCACTGTCTTGGCTCATGGACAAGAAATGGAACTTGTGACCAAAAGGGACACTCCAGAAAGAATTTCAATGAAGTACAACTTGAGCAAAAACAATAAGTTACCCAGATTTCTTGGATCATGGACAGAGGGCTTGGCATGTGGCGTGAATGTCATCAGCAAAGAACACAGCCTTGATTGGTCTCTATGGAGCCCACTGCCCACGTGGTCCCCAAGGGCTGGCTTCCTAGTAAACTCTCTTTGGCGAGTGCCAATCTACTGTCTCCTTTTTGCTGTTTTTAACTCTGTTCAGCTGATTCCCACAGAAATCTTTCCCACCCTAGACATCATGGTAAATATTCTTTACTTAGATGTCATCAGAGTTTGGCTTTGTGAGGATGTTTCCTCTGGGAGTGTAGAAGCAATACTGATGGTGGAAATGTAAAATAGCTCAACCCTTCAGAGAATTGTTTGGCAGCTTCTCATAGCAATAAATATACAGCTGCCCTCTGACCCAGCAGTTCCCATCCTAGACATTTACCCAAGAACAACAAAAATACATGTTCACACAGCATCTTTATTCATAATAACCCCAAACTGGAAACAGCCTAAATAAATACCAACGGGAGAATAAATCAACAAATTGTCATATGTCATTACTACTTAGGAATGAAAAAAACACATTACTGGTATTAATAAATCTCCATTATGCCAAGTTTTGAAAAAAAAAAAGCCAGATGCATGATGCAAAAATCAGACAATATGATTCTAAGCTGACATGTAAGAACCCAATGCCTTTTTATGATTGTAATTATACCTCAATTAAAAGAGATAATCTTCCCCTGTGAAAGATGATTGACATGACTTCTGCATAATCTCACCCTTTCAGGGCTTGAAACCATACTTCCCACCACACCTTGGAATGTCTTATAAGGTAAGGCCCAGAAGAATTTGACACCAACAGTTGCAAATTACAAATGAGAGCTACTGAGGAGACACTTGCTAAATCCTGGGGCCCAGGAAAACGCCACATGGTTTGTTTCTTCCCACAACAGATATGTCTGATACTGTGGCCTAGAAAGAGGTAAGCTGCAATTCCAGCCATTCTGGTTCTGGGGGTTTACACAAAGCTTTAACTGGACCTGAACCCCGCAGAGTAGAAATACAGACTCCTGTGTAGTCACCCTTAACTCTGCCTTGCAGGACCACTCGCTTCCTTGTCTCTCAAGCTATTCTTACTTGTATCGTACAACTCAGTCCTTTGTTTTTCATGTCAAACATTGTTTATTAGGTCGGCAGTGTAGTAGAAAGGTTAAAGCACGGTCTGTGTAGTCAGTAAGAACTTAGTTCAAAGTCTTGCTCTGTTACATCCTATCTAACTTTGAGGAGTGAAGCTAACTTACATAAGGGTTGAGAGCCTTTTATTCTGCACAGGTTGTCTTCCAGAGAGGGAAGACTGAAAAAAGAATGTATTACATCTGTCAAAGCTGCCAATCCACTTGGCCATCTGGGGGCAAAGGGGGCTGTGGGCAGAAGAGGTAGGCTATTGTGCCAATGGAAAGCACGAGGCTGGGGAAATGGCTAAGGCTGTCAAAGGTTTTCCTTGCAGGCATGACAATCTGGGTTCAGCTCTGCAAACCCACATAAAAGCTGCGTGTGATCGTGTGCACTTGTAATCCAAGCACTGTGGAAGAAGAGCCAGGAAGATCGATGGGGCTCACTACTCAGCCGGTCTAGCCTAATTGGTGAGCTCCAGACCACTGAGAGACCCTGTCCCAAAGGTACAGCATTTCTGAAAATTACACCTGAGGTTGTCCTTTGGTTTATATGTGTGCACGCTTGTGTTTGCATGCATACACACACACACACACACACACACACACACACACACACACACACACATTCTAAAATGACAAAGAAAAGAAGAATGAGGAGTAAGGACAGAGTCATCTTCGAATGAGATCTCAAAATGTTTACACCTTTTCCCGACACTATCTACTGTGATGTGGGCACTATTATCTATGCTTTATGAGCACAGAAGCCTAGGTTTGAAGTCACAGACTATGTCAACTTAAAGGTGACAACTGTAAGCAGCTACACCTTCTGTGAATGACATCCGTTTGAAGTTGTATTGAACAATTAAATACATTGGGACAATGCACAAATAATAATGAGGCACTTCGGTGAATTTTTACGAGTCGACTGTACACACCCAGTCTCTGCCCACACTAAGAAATGGAAGACGGGAGGAGAATCCAACTAGGTCTGTGTTTCTCATCTTGCACAAAAACGCAACTCCAGATGGATCGAAAGCCTCCACGTAAGGCCAGATACCCTGCACCTGACAGAAGAGAATGTGGAGAACAATCCCTGGCACAGGAAGGGACCTTCTGAACAGGACGCAGCTAGCCCAGGCATTAAGACCAACAGCTGATACATGGGACTTCATGAAGCTAAAAATTTCTGTACAGCATAAGACACCATTATTCAAGGAAAATGGCAGCCCACAGAATGGGAAGAAATATTTGCCAGTTATACATCTGACAGAGGGTTAATATCTAGACTATACAAAGAAAACTAAACATCAGAAAATGAATAACCCAGTTTAAAAATGAGGTATGGAACTGAACAGCGAGTTCTCAAAAGATGAAAACACAATGGCTGAGAAACACTTTTTAAAATGTTCAACATTCTTAACCATCAGGGAAAGACAAGCTAAAACTACTTTGAGATTTATTATCTTACCCTGGCCAGAATTACTAAGGTCCAAAGACAGGTGACAGCATATCTTGATGAGGATCCGGGTGAAGGGGGCACTTATTCGCTGCTGGTGGTACTGCAAACTGGTATAGTCACCATGAAAATCCTTTTCATACCTGGGGGGAGAGTGAGGATGGGAAGAGGGGCGGGGGGGGGGGAGGGAAGAAAGAAGAGAAAGAGAGAAAACTATTACAAGTAAGCAAATCCCGAACAGTTCACACTGTGAGCTGCCCAACTAGCTCCTAAAATCCCACTTCACTGGCAGTAAGGTGAGTGGAGATACTATCTTTTACTTAAAACTTTGCAGTTCCATATCTTGCTCATTGGCTTCCTTATTTTGCAAGGAATGTTATTAGCTTTACCTCTTAAAGAAACTTTATTTTGGGCTGGAGAGATGGCTCAGTGGTTAAGAGCACTGACTGCTCTTCCAGAGGTCCTGAGTTCAATTCCCAGCAACCACATGGTGGCTCACAACCACCTGTAATGAGAACTGGTGCCCTCTTCTGGCCTGCAGGGACACATACAGGCAGAATACTGTATACATAATAAATAAATCTAAAAAAGAAAGAAAGAAACTTTATTTGTATTTCTAGAAAACAAATGAGCGTGAGGCAATATTCAAGCCTGGAGCGCCGAAGTCTCCTGCAGGGTTGAGCAGGTTAGGTACAGAACTGCACCTCTAAGCAAACATTGATCACCCACACAAACCCTTTTATATACTCAATTTCCTGGAATCAACTAGTCATATCTGGACCTTGTCATCAGCACCTGACAAATCTTGTCTCTTCCATCCCTCCTTTGTTACGAGGATACAGAAGAAGCCTACAAATCAGATGCCCATGGCTTACCCACAGTATTGCTTTTTGCCCCCAGCCAGGGAGAGCTCAGTCTTGACTGGCCCAGGTGTCCCAGGCCCTAGGATGTTCTAGGAAAGTCAGAATTAGCTGCCAATGTGCTATCTCCTTGCAGAAATCTCAACTGTTACCTCAGACCTCCTTCATACTTTTCCTGGACACCTCACTTTCAATGATGATTTTAACTGTTCCTCGTGTGGTAAGCCTCTTCCGCCTCTCTCTCCTTTCTCCCCCTCCTCCTCTTCCTTTCTTCTTTCCCTCCTTCTCCTCTTCTTCCAGTGTTAAGATGGAACTCAATATCTTAGGCATACTAGAAAAACATACCACTGAACTAACACCCCAGTCCTCATACAGTATTTTTAAAAACACAAACCTTTTTAATACATATTTGTGTGCAGGGGTGTGTGTGTGTGTGTGTGTGTGTGTGTGTGTGTGTGTGTGTGTGTGTGTGTGTGTGTGTGGTTTCTCTCACTTTGGTGCTCCTGTAGAGGTCAGAGGACAACTTGTGGGAGTTGCTTCTCTCCTTCTATCATGTGGGTTCTGAGGGTCTCAGATAGTTGGGCTTGGAACAGGCACCTTCACTCACCAAATCGTCTCTGCCCCCTCATGGAAAGTCTTTAAAGTATGCTCCACTATCCGTCTCACAGATTACTCTGTCTTCCGAGTTAGGCCAGTCCTCCCACTCATGAACTTGTAGCAGCTGTAGCTGTCCACACAAAATCCAGCCAGCATGAGCAGGAGGGACATGTGAACTCCTACCTACAGAGGTGCTACTGACAGCAGGTGGCTTCTGGCAGGGAAACACCATCATTTGGTCTGAGGATGCGGCCTCTGGTAGGTAGACCATGCTCCAGTGGGTGACACCAGACCCTCGAGTATATGGGTGGCACAAATTGGGTTTGGTAGGTTATTTTTCTTGAAAAGAAAACATAAAATTGGGAGAGGGTAGTAAGGTTGAAGAGGTAGGAGGAAGAGTGGGGTGAATATGATCAAAATACATCAGACGCATGTATGAAATTCTCAAAGAATTTATGAAAATAGTATATTAAAATGTATAATGCCATATTATAGAATTAAGATTATTGTATATAGTTAAATTATGAGTATTAATTCTAACATAATAATGTTTTACATTATACATTATAACATAATACATTAATACATAATGTATAAATATAATAACTACCTGTCATTTTACATATCATCACTAATCTCTATAAATATGATTTACTATAGGTGTTCAGTTGGAATCTCCAGCTCGCCCCTGCATGATCTGGAAAGCTCCATCTCTCTGTCTCTGTCTCTGTCTCTGTCTCTGTCTCTGTCTCTCTCTCTCTCTCTCTCTCTCTCTCTCTCCCCCCCCAAATCCCACCCTCTCAGAGAATCTCCAAGAAAGAAGAGGTGTCAAAAAGCCCAGTTTTGCCTTCTTGGTGGCTACAGCAGCTTCCCCTCTGAAGTTGCCAGCAGCCCAGGTCCCTGCCTAAAGTGCGTAGATTTTGACCCTACTTGAACACAAACACAGCTTACACATCATCACCCCTCATCCACAGGCTATATAAGCTCTCTGCTTTAATTAGGGCATGTGGCTTCTCCTGCCTTGATCTCCGGGCCTGGAGAACCCACCCAGGAGTTGCTTTGCTCGAATAAAACTGTTTTTTTTTTTTCCCAGTTCGTCTTGATCTGGCTTACTGCATTGGCAGAGAAACCTATTATTGCAACACAGAAAACCTATTAATAGGTTTCATTATCATATTTATGTCATATGCAATATACTACTACATATAGCTTACAGGGTGTCTGCTTCGTGATATAAAATGACACATAACCTTTCATTTCAGTCCTCCCCACCACACTCCTGACTCCCTATGACCACAGTTTCATGGATGAATAGAACAGACCATACAAGTAGAAAACAGCCAGAGTTCTAAGTGTCTCTGACTTGCTTTTATTCTGGAGCCTTTCTCTTCCAAGCTTTTCGTTTCTTCTAAGAGGAATGCTTGACTTTATTCTCTTCTGATGTCCAAATTTCTGTCACCACTGAGTGACATGCTCTCTCTTGGCTTCCATCCTTGCTTGGATTTCTCCTGTTGGAGGCCAAGCCAGCCCTTCACAGTTGCTCTCCTCGCTACCTGAGGACACCTGTGTGTCAGGCCCTCCCGTTTCTTCCTGACCCTCTCCTCCTAGGACTAGTTAATCCGGCACAGCCCAATAAAGAGGCTCCTTCCCTGTCTCCTGTAGCCCACAGCACACACCTGCCTCAGTGTAAGTGGGAAGATTTGGCACCGGCTGGGTGTGGTGGCATACATCTGTACCTCCTTGGGAAGCTGAGGTGGCAGAGCATTTGAGTTTAGGAAATCAAGACCAACTTGGGCAGCTTAGCAAGAGACCATCTCAAAAAGAGAAAAAGAAAAGTAAAAATGCGAAAAGAAAGGAAAGGAAAAAGAAAAAAAAAATCAAAGCATTTGGCATTACCAGAGTGTGTGTGCACTTCCAGGGAAGAAAGTATCCTTCTAGAAAAATGAGAATGTGAGGGGAGGCCTCAAGCTGGAACAACTGATTATGCCTTACTTCATTTTGGTGGACAGAAAATGCTATTTAGAAAAAGTGAATCTCTGCTTAAGCCATAAATCTGAGAAATGATTTGTGTAAGCATTTTATTATTCACCTCTACTCCTTCAAAAACACCAGGAGACAGTGCTGCTCCGAGGCAAGAAGGATCTGTTTTACAGTTCCTGTTCAAGAATCACTTTATTGGAAAGAAATTGTGGTCGGGGAGGGGGGGGGGTGTCAGTCCAAGCAAATCAATAACGCAAGTAAGTCCCGCAGAAGGAAGCAGTAAGTGGTGGTTATGAAGAGGGAGCTGGGTCTCAGGACGTGTTTGACTTGGTCAAAAGGAAGCCACTAACCATGATCATGAAAGTTCTACCTTCTAATCCTTGACTCCATATCTCATCCTCTTTCTGCTGGTAACAAACTCTCCGTCCTTAGGTTCCTTCATGTCTGGAGGCCAAGTCGCTTCCAGAGAGCATCCCAGAAGATGTGTGGGAAGAGCAGACTCCTCCCCCTTCTCCATTTTTTCTCTATGCAGCCTCTAGTGAGTCCTCTAGAAGTGTTGATGAAGTGTGTCCTTTCTATATGATGAAGTGCCCTTGGTCAAGGTCAACAGTCTCTCCCAACTTTCTATCATGAATGTGTTCCCAACATATCTTCAAGTTCTGTAGAGTTTTGCCATTCTCTTACATTGTTCAGTTTGTGTCATTAGAAAAGGAGGAGGCAGAGGAGAAGGAGGAAGAGGAGGAGGAGCTAGGTTCTGCAGAGAGAAGGAAGAACCCTTTATCAAAAGGACTAGGGGTTTGCCTTCAGGAAATGAGTTACTTCAAATTCACCAGGTTCTCCTCAACTTCTAGCCTTACTGTCTCTCACGCGAAGCTCTAAGTGAGGCTGCATCTGGGTGTTTCTTTAGACAGTTGATTGTTTATACTAAATTAGGCTCTAGGTGTGAACTCGATGTGCCCGCTGCTCCACAGCTGCTATACACTGGCGTTCTGACAGCATCCTGCCACAGCAATAAACACAGGTCTACATTATCACTTCATTTATTTATTATTTAGAGACAGAGTTTTATAATTAAACACAGCTAAGCATTCTTGACGTCTTTACAGTGGTAGTATGTGAACTATTGAAATGAGCGTGGTTTCATTTAATGACAGATACCGAGGTCAATGAAAAATGAAGTTCCTAGAGGCCATAACGGGCCTGGGCTATGGCCTTTGCCTGATCTTACAAACCCAGGGAGAGCAGTGTGTTGCACAGTCCCCATTCTTGTATCTACTGTATTCCTCAGATTGAGATTCATGCAAGTCAAGCCTTTTATTTAATAAACTCAAAGTATCATCCTAAAAGACGTGCATGCAATCTAAACAGAATCACTCTCATTTCCAGAAATCTGACGAGTATGGAGACATGCATATGGATGAAACAAGGAAAAACTATAAGACAAAATAAGCACAGGCAGGTGTTGTAAGAAACACAGATGAGTGTGCGTTAGGCTTGGTGAGTCTGCATTTGGGGTATTGTGGAAGACTCCACTGGTTCTGGAAGCGTCACAGGATTGCAGGATTGCCAGGAGCAGAGGAAGGTTCTAAGTGGTAACAAGAGCCTAGGCTGTTGACAAGGCTTGCTTCAAGCTGACCAGAGCTGTAAAGCCTGTCTCTAGTTCCCACTCTGTCCATTCCAGTTCTTCCTGAGGCTGCTGACTCTGGGCACACCCAGGGGATCTTCCAACTTTAGGCACTGGGTGTGATGTGTGGAGCCAGCATTTCTGTAAGAAGCAAAATGCTGAGTAACAACATGAAGTCAGTGTGTCGCCTGCCAAGAACTAGGAGGCCTGTGTGGTTTCCTAATTTTGAAGAAGCAGAAGACCATTAAATTCAGCCTTCCAAACAAAAACTGGGGTAGGTTTAGCAGTGCAGAAAACACTCTGTGCTGATCCAGCTGAGGAACGCACATCATCTGCTTTGACTAGACACTACTCGCTAATCAGATGAACAAATTGTAGATTGCGATTATTCCCCCTCCCCCTTTTCATGACAGACTAACACATCACCTTCATGGAGACTATCCCCTGCACTGTGGAACAGCCTGCTCAGGCAATCCGGGGTCAGAGGTGGCCGTGGGGGTGGGGTCTGTGGAAGAGATTGAAACAGGAAATGGCTCAGCTTCAAAGAATTCAGGGATGTGAATGCATAAACAGCCCAGGCACCGAGATGAGGTCTAGGTGCTCAGGGAGCAGCAGGGCGAGCTGCCAGCTCCAGAGGGTGAAGCTCCAGGCTGATGAACAGCCCAGGGCTCCAAGCGGATCATGTCTACACTCACCACGCCAGTGGACATAGGCATTTTCTGCCAGCTCAGCTCTTGCTCACCATCCTGAAGTGTTTTGCATGGTCACCTCTGTTTGACCCTTTGTTCTAGGAAAAAGGTACCAAATATTAGAGCCTAGAATTAAAATAAGCCAGAGCGCTCTCAGGAGTACTGGGGATAACTCAGGAAGTTTTCATCTTAGCTTTTGTCTAACAATACCAATAAAAATTAAATATAATTATAAAAATATCCCTGTGGAAAAATAAAAAACGTAAAAATATGGTAAAGAAAAAATTTTAAACTATCACTGACATAATTGTTATATATATATTTCTTTATATTCTTTGTCCTCTGAACACGGGAAAGTAAAAAATTGGGATCATATTATAATAACTTTACATTACTTTTTATTTTATAAAGTCATTTCCCCACTTAGTTTTTATGTAAAATCATTTCAATTGATATATAATATTTTATTTTACAGATATATGCCAATTTATTTACCCTTTTCCCATCTTGGGACACTTAGACTGCCTCTAGTTTTCTTTAAGTAATACTATTGATGAAGAACATCCATATGCATAAACATCTTGACACAGCTAAAATCATTTCATTGGGATTTGTATCAATAAATGGGATTATGGAGAGGTGGCTTATTGGTTAAGAACACTGACTGCTCTTCCAGAAGACCCAGGTTTGAGCCCCAGTACCCACATGTTAACTCACAGCTATCTGTAATTCCAGCTGCAGGGGATCGAACAGCCTCTTCTGGCTTCCATGGGCACCAAGCATGCACATGGTACACAGACATACATGTTGGTAAAATACTCATGCATGTAGAATAATAATAACAAAATTAATAACAGATTATGAGTCAGGGTTCTATCTAACCTTTTTAAGGTTATGAGCAGATAAATTAACCTGAGACAAACAACATACTCTGAGGTTGAACACCCAGCAGGTCATCCTGAATCACTGCTGGGCTGAGTCAGAGAGCATGCAGGACTTCCCAGCAGCCTTATTTTCCTAATTTCTCTGCTTCTCCCAGCTTCCCTGAGCTATCCAGCCCTTCAGCTCCTCTGGTGGTGCATTCCAGGGGCTCTCCCACAGCAATGGCTCCTCCCTGTCTTTCCTGGCACTCTGATACCAAATGGCTTCAAGAAGTATCGATTCCAGGACATGAAACTAAAATTCCCT